GCGACTAACACGAATTGCGATCTACGAAGTAGAAAGTTACCAAAAGTTGTGCTCAGTGCAGTGACTGAAGCCTACAAACATCTCACGCTCCTAATAACCAGTAAAACATCGTCTACCCACAGTGGCGTAGTGAATGCTTTTGCCGCCCGGGGCAGTCGTAAGATTTTCGCCCCCCTGGCAGCTACGAATCCGTAAACCCTCACAAATGCGAACAGCACTCAAGCATTTTGTTTCGAAGAACAACAATCAAAGATCTAATTTTGGAGTGCTGCTGTAAGTGTATGTATTCATATTATTATAATACCCGTGTACAAAAGTAACAACACACCTTTCATAATTTACTTAAGGCAAAATTCAGTCAATCGGTCAGTTCCTTCTCTGAAGAGAACTGCTAAGTCCGTGAGCTTATTCTGGTTCATTGCTGATCGAAGGTAGTTCTTTATAAGCTTGAGTTTTGAGAAAGAGCGTTCACAACTGTCAATGATAATAGCTCCGGTAAGGAAAGTGCGCAACAAGATTTCAATATTCAGTGCAAGTCCCCAAGTTGAAAACTATTACGTGTGAAGCACACAAGGTCAACTGGTCCATTGATTTTGTCGTTGCTTTAAGCTTTCACAAAATACTGCAATCTCCGGTCACCGCAGTATTCCTTTTCTTGCTACATCCTTCTCAACTTCGCTACGCGGATAATTATAGGTATCCCCAAGAAGAGTTGACGGTGTAAGTAAAGCATATTTGTTCGCAAGGTCATGTATTTGCTGAAATCTACCATATATTTTGTCAGTCCACCAGTCTATGACAGACGGTGTTTCCTGTTTCAACTTAGCATCAAATCCCATTGATGCATCAAACAACTCATCACCATCAATTCGTTTTTTTGTGGACAGATTTGACGCTCCATACACATCCCAAATTCGTGGTAGCGTCTTATGATTGCATCCGTTGCATTGTCCACTATCCTATTTCTATCCTGAAGAAGGCAAACTCCTAACACGATGCGCCTGACAGAACTTTGCTGTAGATCCCGCTCATTTGTTTGAAGATATTTCTTTGCATCACTGATTTCTGGGAAAACAGATCACCAGAGGCTCAGAAACGAAACAAACGGTAACGACAGTACCAAGATGAGAACTCAGCATTAACGTTCGCAACCTTTGCTCTCCGTTTCGAAAATTCAAAAAAACCAGCTTGTTGTTAACTTCCTAGCCGAACAAACATAGTGCAAATTTCATGGTCAACCTTAACAGATCACAGACCAAAATTCGTAAAATCGATTGACGAATGATTTAAGCCAAAAGTATGAAGTCACTGACCTCAAATTTGACAGCGGTCGTGGACTCTCGGCTCCCTGGCTATGCGCGGAAGGATCGACAGCACATATAACTGGAAACTCTGTCAGACATGGTAAAAAAAACCGTGCACAATGGCGAACATATTGAGAAACCTTACTACCGTAACTTCCGTTCTACACTTGTTTCTCTCTATTTTCACTATCATTCTATTGTATTTATCCATACGCTGTGGCACTCTGCCAATAATATAAATGGTCAAGTGTTCAATATGGTTGGCGGCATCCGGTTCCGGATTTACCTGTCACTATGGCCTCCATAGGACAGCCATAAGACTCCTGCACCTACAGAGGGACCATGCATGGCTTGCGCTGCGCCACGCACAGCCCAATCCACACGTCCCATATCCAGTGTAAACCCGAAGGAATAAGACCGGGAGGCATGCGGATGGGAACCACGTTTCATCAACGGAGCCGGCCCATACTCCTTCACAGGCAAACACAAGCACGCTGTATTTGGGGAATCAAGCGCACACAAGGCGGTGGTTAGGCCGTAGCCCGCTTCACACACAACCATATGCATAGAACCACTCTTTGAGCCTAACACGGCCACAAGGATCGTGCACCCCGACCCCTGCAGCAACGACCAACTGTCTCCCAGAGCCAGCATGGACGAAGTGGTAGGTAATAGACAGGTAGGCAGCTTGTCAACATGCACATCAAGCGCAGCCACACCGCGGATGTCAAACAACAGCCAATCACTTGAAATTAAGCTATCAAATAAAAATAATCGGATAAAGTATAAGGATATGCCAGCGTAACGCTTCGCTAAATTAGAATTTGAAATACATGGGTGATAAACACATCCGCGATAAATTCAAGATGGCAGAAAAAGAGGTAAAAATACATCTGCAACAAACGCGAATAAATTTAAAGAAACTAATTATCTTTTGTTTAGACGATGTGTGTAAGTAATCAGATTATTCAGAGAGACTTTAAAATGAGATAACAAAATGAGATAACAAAATATAGCATACGGATCATCTGAAATAAAGAAAGTCAACACACCAGCAAGCGGTTAGTAGATCGAATGCCGCTTATCTACCAACGCTGCACCGGCTCTGGTTAGGTTCTCAGTAGCACTCGTCGGGGTTTCGATGCTGGTCCTGAGTCGCCTCGCTCATGGCTCACTAGGCCTGTCTGACTCAGGCACTCGCGGCCGCATGTGCTACACCACCATGCGCTTGACGGTGATGGAGTACACACTATCGGCGCCTGTTACTTACGCACCTACCGTTTCTTCTCCACATGCACGAGGGCTTTCTCCTGCACCTCGGCAAGTATCTTCATAATCAGATCGCGCCACGCACGCCGATCAAGCGCCTTCGATTCCCAACACCTGAAATCAACAATAGAACGTGATAGGCTCACGTCGACCATGTCATGATAACGTAACTTCCGTTTCCCCACGTGCCGCTTCCATGCACGCAATTGGCCATTAACCAGCTGTTTCGGTATCCGGGTTGAATCCATGCGGCGAATATGCCCGAGCCACCTCATGTGCCTCAGCAGGATCATGCAGGCCACTGCATACATGCCAACGCGTCGAAGCACCTCCGTGCTTGCAGTTCGGTCACTCCAGCCGATGTGCATACTACGGCGTAGACACTGTTGATGGAAGTGCTCCAGATAACGGAGATCCTTTCGATAAAGCGTCCAAGTTTCCACGCCGTATAGCAGAAGTGACAGCACTATAGACTTGTATACCAGCAGCTTCGTCCAGACGGTGAGCTGGTGGTTGTTCCACACACATTTTTCCAACTTGCCAAATGCAGCAGCCAACTTCGACACGCGGCTGCGCAGCTCGTTCGTCATCTACAGGTCGAATGTTATTACACTCCCAAGGTAGTAAATTCTCGGAGTGGCTTTCAACACTTTGTCGGCAACCTGGATTTAGGGAATGTCCACGGACTCCATTCCGGGTGAAGGTTGAAAGAGACCGACAGTTCTTCTTGTGTTGATGGTGACCACGAATTTGGCCACTATCGAAGCCAGAGCACTAGTCATGTGCTGCACCTCACCGCGCTGTGTGCGAACAACGCACAGTCGTCAGCAAAAAGCAACATACGGATAGTTGTCTCACAGACTAGGGTTCTCGAACCGAAACCACGGATGTTCAGCAACCCACTATCAATACGGTGCTCCACATGAACACCGTTAGCACAAGCCGCATCTAAAGCACAAGACATCATGACATGAAGATAAATATTAAACAAGGCAGGAGCTAAAACACAGCCTTGCTTCACACCAGAGACAACTGCAAAGTCATCCGAGGTCTATCCACTCAGCCCTCGCCCGCATACCATCGTGCAGACATTCAATCAAAGTTACCAACTTACTCGGACAACCAAATTTACCCACCAGCCACAATGCCTCGCGGTTCACCCTATCAAATGCCTTGGTGAAATCAACAAAAAGCGAGTACAGTGGCTGGTGTCGTTCTCTACACATCTCCCGCAACTGACGAGCCACGAACACCATAACGATGGTGCTGTGACTCGAACGGAATCCACATTACTCTTCCACAAACTGAGTGACGAGGCGGTTGAGCAGGGTTCCTGGAATCACCTTGCCCACACAACTCAGCAAGTTGCTGTCACGATAATTCGTGCAACATTGCTTGCTTCCTTTGCCCTCGTACAGTGGTAGCACAAGAGCATCCTTCAGCTCAGGAGACACCTTCTCCTCAATCCACACGCGTTGCGTCGAGTGGTGCAGCGCATGCGCCAACGCCGGTCCGCCGTATTCCAATACTTTAGGCGAGACCCCGTCGGCACCGGCACACTGGCCGTTTCTCATCTAAGCAAGTGCTCTCTGCGTCTCATCCAGTGTCGGTGCCTCGGCAAGACACGTCTTCATTTCGCGTTGTTGCAGCCCGTGCAACACAGTCCAGTAAATCTCTGAATAGTTGTTCAGGAGACGGTCAAAGTGCTTTCGCCACCAACCCGAGGCATCACAAGGCTGACAATGAGAGTACAAATCATGGTACCGCAACTCTACAGGCAGATCACGAAGGCCAGAGTTAGCAAGCAAAATCACGCAGGCGCTTATACTGGGCCATAGAACCCTTTACAATGATGTGCCCGCTGTACAACTTCGTATGGGCGATCATGCATTACGTTCACGGGTAACTGCCATGGGGGGATGTGTAACCCGAGAGATATGTGCAAAGGCGAGAAGGAACAGACGACCTTCAGGTGTGACAGATGGTGCATATGTGTTTTTGCTTATTCAGAAAAATATTGCAATATCCTACTATCGGTTTATTCGGAAAATTTACCCTGTAACCTTGGTGTCGAACATACATCTGTACTAGAATTCCCTCCTGGGGCGGACAGTCCCCCACTCCCTCACGCTACGCCTCTGCCTACATAAACATATCGGGGTCAGAATAATCAGTGTAGAATCGGTGTAGAATAATCAGTTCCGTGGCTAACACTCCGTTAGGGAGAACCTCATTCAACGCCTCTATGTAACGGTCGGTACAAACGCACGAAGCAGCAATAAGGGTGAACTTAAAAGATGGCTCTCCTTGTACATTTTTTGTAGTGTACTTGGTGGTTCTGCCAAGGAGATTTCGTAATGAAACTGCCACACGCTAACTCATATTCTTGGACAGATGAAGACAAATTTTGGTCTGCGTATTACTCACCAACTGTAACTCTTCCAACGTTCCCAACCAGTCATCAAGCTCAGATAAATCCACTTCGGAATCCATTGGGCACAATCACTTCATAGTATTATCCCAAAGCTGTATGGTCCATGGTTAAACGCCACAACAGGTTATGTGCAGGATAACACGCCGTGTCCTGTATTCGAGATTCGACTGATGACCAGCTGAGATAGCGCTTGATCGATGCTGCAGTTGTACCAATCAAGTGAATGCTGGCGCTACTTCCACTTTGTGGGCTGATTGGCTGCGGCAGCATCTGCGTTGGCAGCCGATCGTCAGCCGAACACACGTGTGCACAACCTCTGCCCACTTGCCGGTGTCCTCTGATTGACGGTCAAATGATGAGGGTCACAGTATACACATCTCCGGATTTCGCTCTCAGAATTAGGTGCTCTCCTTCGCTTGGTGCGCCGTGCCATTTATTTAGGCAAATGGTTAGGCAGGCTTACTAGGATCCGCAACATTGTTCAGTTCATCATTCAGTTGTGCATCTAAGCGCTGATCTGTTTGCATCGCACCCTATAAGTAGACAATCACGAGCTGAATTCAATCGGTTTGAACATCACACACACCCACACACACTGCTTGCATAACAGTGCTATAGCCGAGTCCACCTGAATATTTTCGTTCTAAGCGTTGCACACACATTGATATTGAACGTACAGCATTGGTAATCAGGTTGACAAATGTTGTACAGGTGTAAACTAACTTGCCTCGCTTAACGTCAAAGTGCGTTTGGTTCTGAAATCACCGGATGCTGTAAATGGGAACACTGCAACAGAGTACAATACTTCTGTTGGTCTGTCACCCGTACGAAGATTCGCCCATGCTACAGGATGTTCCAGGTAACTTCGAGACAACTGGAGCGGGTGGCTCGGATAACATTTTTGATTCCGCTCAAAAAGTCGGCGTGTCACGGACTCCTGTGTCAGAAAACATTAAGCGTAAAAGTACAAGGAAAGCACATAATCTCCATCTTCAAATCACAAGGTGCGCAAACAAGTAAGGTGCAACAATCTGAGTAGGGGGACCAAATTTTATGTTCCCATCCACCTTGGGAAACGTGAGGTGCCTTCACCTTCGGTCATACCGATGGAAATCAAGAGGCCAAACGGTGTGGATGGAAGAGCACGCGGAGCAGTTCTTAGATGGACAGCAGCGTACTTTCAAAAATGTCGCTGGATCCACTACCGCCCTTCCCACCGAGCACTTCTTTGATGACCTAACCTTTGTGTTATGAGCTTATCCAACCAGTTTCCTGGGGTTACTGTCAGAAAGGTCATCAGATTTCAGAAAAGTTCCGGTTCCTAAAACGCACCTTCGACCTCGTCTTCCGAGGTTGGAACTGAGACTGAGACTGTATTTAAAAGCAAATAGAAAGGCTTATGAACAACTCTATCGAATTATGACAAATCAAAAACATTTAGTTGCAAATCGTCAGCGGTAGTGTTTGGTCAGTTAATCGTTTATCCTTGTTCGGTTAGGAATTCGTATTGGTGTCATTATTTCCGGGTGTAGGATGTCTTAGTTTCCATTGTATGGGCACCGTTTCACAAAAGCACAGGATTCCGAAAAATCGTTGATACGTGTTTTCAAACAATGTTAGTCCTTCTGGTAGTGTATTCTACAAGTTTACGATTCTTCGTCTTAGGCAAAGCTGAGGTGATACTTTGTTCATTCAGGGGACCCTGAGTCTGTTACGGTGTCCTCAGGTGTTGCAGACTTCCCGCAGATGACATATTGGTCGCAGTATGGGGAAGTGATTCAAGTGTAGTACTCGGTGGGTCATAAAAAGGTTAATTCTTACCCGGCTGTAGGATAGTGTGTAGAGTCTGAGCCTTTCACATCGTTTTGCACACGAAAGCTTTCGCAAATAGGTATCATTCTAGTTGCGATATGCTGTATTTTCTCCAGCTTTTCAGTTTCCCACTGGGTTATCGGATGGTAAGCTGGGGCGCCGTATTCAAAGATTGGTCTAATGAGCGAGGTGATTAGATGAGGGACTGTTTCTTCGGAACATGTGGAGAAACTGCGTCTTAATGCTCACAGCATTCGAAATCTCGCACGGTTCAGTTTCTCTGTATTTTCTAGTGATCTGATATCATGTCGTGAGAGAACTCCTAAATCTCTCTGGCCGTCCAAGGTGTATGATTGGGTGGCTGGACGTCTGGTGATACTGATGAGCTCCGACTTGCTCGCGTTAAGAGGGAGTTGCGTTTCAGTGGACCACGTAGACTGTCGCTCTAATTCATGGCGGAGGCGAGCGCAGTCTTCCTGTTTCTCAGTGATCCCCCAGATTTTCAAATCATCTGCAAACAGAGCGCACGGTGACTGGAGCTGCTGCGAAAGATCGTTGATATGATTAAGAAGTCATACTAACCCAAGTGTAGTTCCTTGATGCACGCCAATGGTCGATGGAAACCATTCTGTCAGGTAGGTAGTCATTGACCTGTACTTTAAAATTTTCGTCCCACAATAAACTCGTGTAACCACTGAAGTAGCGTGCCACCGATTCCGTATGTTCTCAGTTTACGAAGGAGTACCTCGTGGTTTACGCTGTCAAACGGCCTACTAAAGTCGATGTACACAACGTCAACATCCTTCTGTTCATTGAGAGCTGGTACCCACTGGTGGTTTGCGTACATTAAATTGGTGATGCAGGATCGCCCTTTCCTAAAGCCGGGTTACGCTGACGTTACGCTACTTCCATCAAATCAAAGAACGACGGCAGGCACTTTTTCACAACCATCTCGAGAACTTTGGATACTATCGAAGTCAAATAGATCGGTCTGTAGTTTTCTATTTTACTCGGATCATCACCCTTGGGAAGTGGTCTCACTATCGAACATTTCCAGTTGTTGGGGACAGATCCTTCAGAGAGTGATTAGTGAATAGGTTTATCACAGCTGGTGAGATGATAATCGAGAGGGACTTGAGTATTAGTAGGTGAAGTCCGTCTGGTCCGGGGTTTTTGCACCATCGAGGTTGACGAGTAGCTGATACACTTCGACTGCACCACATTGTAGGCTGTCGAGCAAGACTGGCGCCATCTATGCCGGTACTGGGACATCAGCCATTTTACCGGAAATTACGGTGAGGAAGTGCATAGCCAAGATGTCGGCATGCTCCGCGCTTGCAATGAACGTCTGTCCGTCCAAGCTCTCTAAGACCGATAGGTCGCCCCCAGATTTCAGTTGACGTTGCAAGTAGGTAAATATTCTTCTGGGTGCAGTTGTGGCCGAGGATGCTAGCTCCTCTTTAAACTGTCGGCGTTTCTTGCTCTTAGCGGTGTTACACAAGTTCCGCTGTTCCTTGTATACCGTGTAATCTTCATCACAACCCGAGCTGATGTATCTATCCCAAAGGTTTGCCACGTCGCCGCGCTAACTGGCTGTATTCCGTGTCAATCCAATGCGGTTTGACAGGTCCGATTTTTGAATACTTCAGGGGAACGAACCGAGTACACAGCGAGTTAAGCTTCCCCTTCATTAATGACCAACAGGCCTCAAGCGACGCATCCTGTGGTAGTGTCCAATCAGTCTGACTTGCGGCTTGGACGAGCCAGTTGAAGTCCGTCATCCAATAGTTGAATGTCGGCTTCCGTTGATTGTAATACGGTAACGACAGTTCTATGCTTGTCACAATAGAGCAGTTGTCACAGTTTGTCAGAGATCCGAGGACTCTGATCACGTTCAGCTTCTGCTCGCAGCTCGTAAACATTAGGTCCAGACAAGATGGCGAGTGCGGAGTTACGCGCGTCCATTGCATGACATGTTGCGTTACCCAGATTTCAATAGTCATTTAAGCGAATTGAGCTTCAAGGTTGTCATGACCGGGAAGAAGCCGAAGGTCTGGCCAGAATATCTTAGGTAAATTTAGATCCGCCATCAGTAAGAACTGAGGGTGGCTCATGTGCTTCTGGACATATGGTAGCCATTCACAACAATGGTTTAATGGGCTACGGTAGATAACACTCACTATCAGTTCTGCGGGTCTGAGGTAGATTGTGCACCACCATTGCTCGCATAAGTTATCTTATCCACTCCAGAAGAGCGCAAGTTGTCGCTATGATTTCTTTTCAGTGTGTAACCTGCCCCGTTAACAGTTAGTTGGAAGTCAGAGAGAGCCATGTGCTACCTCAAGATCTGGTGTGCAGCTGGTGTGCAGGGTCTACAATTTGTGGGTTTTCATGTGGCCAATCAGCGGGCCATTTCCGCCCTACCTGAACCTATTCCGTTTGCGCAGGTTCCAGGTCTGGTCGTGCCGGGGTCATTCAAGTAGTACTTATTAGCGTGCCCAGCCCGAGGAACGAGATGTACGCAGTGGGTCGGCACATAGACAAATCTCCTGCCCTAGCTGAAACGCGGTTGTTTGACGAAATCACGGACGGCGAAGTACATCTGCTTGGCTATGCACTGTTCCGAGCTGATCACTCCACTGGCAGTCAAGGAGGTGGCGTAATTCTTTACGTGAGCTACAATTTGGACGTGTTGATAGCCACCGTTTTGCAGTCGGTAGACAAAGGTATTGATGCTCCATCAGTCGTGATGTACACTTCCATTGCTCACTTTACAGTTGTGGTAGTGTATAAAAGGTACATGAGTATATCTAAAGAAATCCTTGACTTTATACGCGCTCGCTAAGCGAATATGTGTCTGGTGCTGGGTGACTTCACTCTGACAGAGGTTTTCCGTACTGATGTATCTTCTAACTGGATAATGGGATCGTTATGTGCAGACCTGCTAGACTTAACATTGTAGTTTCCGTCACACCAGTTTGTGAATCTCCACACTAGCTACAGGAACAACCAGTGACTATCCATTTAGCTCTTGTTTTCGCTAACTCATTTGACTTCGTAGGCGATCCTGTTTGCTTTTATTTCCGGTGTGCACTTATCAAGACTTACTAGTCTACTAGCGACTAGCATCCTAACACACGGGCCGCGAACTTTCTGGCCATATGAGGTGGGACTTATTCATGGCATTATGTGAGCTCTGAGACGGACACTGTTCAGCTAGCCTGGGAAATATTTAAGGCATGTGTTG